TGCTGTAATGTATTGGAAAAATTAATGCTACTTAAAGCTCGATGATAAATTGAATTCCAACATTTACTTGTTTGTAAAAAGTAATCACAATTTTTCAATTTCAGCAATAAAATATACAAACTTTTATTTTTGCCAATATAAACACGTAATGTTTAAGATGTTAATAATCTTTTTAGTTGTTAAGAATAGAATTTTCATTCTCGTGAATTTTGTAGGATTTATTATAAATTTTGTAAAGACATGTGGTATTGTTCATGACTTCTATAAATTTCTTACGAATTTTTAGAAATTTTGTAAACTTTTTTTCATTCAATAAAAATCAACGTTTATATGTAAATATACCATTGTGAGACCTTGTGAAAAAATTTATATATGACAGAAAAAAATAAACGAGTTTGCACAATGTAATTTTTTTTATTTATCTTTTTGTACAAAAGTAGTTCGACTTGTTATAATCTACCAAATCAACCATACAATCTCAAGACACAAAATAATTATCAATATCAGACATTATGTGACATGTAATAACAATAAGAGATGAAAGGATATAACTTAATAAAATTCAAATATACATAACTAAAAGACAAATGATTCTAATATTGAACAAGCCACGAAATTATATATGTGATAGTAATTTAGCATCATAAAATTCATGAAAATAAAAAACCAAGTCAAAACTTCTCAAAATAATGAACAATAAACCTAGAAATTTAAGATTAATTTTATATATAAATCATTTCAACTTATATGTTGTCTACTCAACTCGTTCATCTAGGGATAGTTAAAAAAACTCAGAATGTTTTGCTTTAGTATTAACCAAAAGAGAGCTTTGAAACGATCCTTAAAAGTTAAGCCCGGTGTTGTGCAAATTATGTTTTATTACCGAGTACGGGGAATCCTGACCTCGTGTCAATATCACGAGGAAGGCAGTTCGGAATCTAGAATTTGTATCGATCACACACGAAAATAAAGTAAGTTCTAAACATTTTAATCATGACTGAAGTTTGATTGAATTATCTAAACACTATAAAAACAATTGAATAATAATAAAATAACTAGAGATGTAGCTGAAGTTCTAGGGTGTCGGGAAATCTCATCTGGTCCTAAACCTATGTTGAACGCTTATTTGTTCCATTGCACGATTCGACAAGCCTACACGTCTAGAGGTTTATGCTTAATAACTATTCGTAACAAGACACATAAGCGACAAATTCGTTCATTCAAATAACACATAGATAATACTTTTACGAACAAGTATGTCTTATGCACACATGGTCAAACAATTTATCCCCTTCCGGTTCTTAGATTATTTAAATGAACAAGACGGTGATCAATCTGCTAATTCTATTATTCAGTCAACATGCACAAGTTTAACAATAACACATTCAACACACTTCAAGACAAGAATCGAAATCCCTAGCTCTAAGTAAATGAATTACTTTTTGTTTGAATTCAAATTCACTTAAATCCAATACAAGAAACACCACATCTAATGACAATAATAATTGAAAAATTAAAACTTACAATCGTTTCAGGAATTACAAGAATTCAGTCTCAATGTATTTGGCTCCAACAATCCAAGCACGAGTGAAAAGAGAAAATTGGAGAAATTCTACAAAACTATATTTACAAGATGATTTTTGGTGTCCGGGAGCCTTGGAACTGGTCACGGGTTGTTCTTCACATTTTTCCCAAGATGATTGTAAGGTCTGACACCCTTCTCCATTTAAAAAGATTCAAAACAGGGTCAAATATCAGTTCAGGTACCTGGCAGTAAATGTGTTCATGGAGGTCAGTGAGATGAGGTGAAATCGAGAACTCAGAAATGATATCTTGCCACTGGCTGATAGCTAGGATAGTTTCACCTTGAACAGCTAAGGCAACACTGTTTTGGAAAATTCGATTTCGAAAATCCATGGTTACAATAAGGGTGTCAAAAAACAGCAAATGCTATTGCTTTCCATATCAACAGTTTTTTGTAAGCGTTTTAAAGAGCTTACAAATTCTGTGTGTGGCATTAAACATCAGATATCTGTTGTGATCTCTGAGCCTACAGGCTCCATGAACAGGATATATACTTCTTCTAGATTTTTTTTTTTTCTTTTCTCAGTATCATCAAGCACAATTGAGCCATAAAATCAATCACAATTGACCTAAGAGCAGAACGAGTTAAGCTACTAAGTTAAGCCCCTAAGAGCATCTCCAACCGTGTACATGAATTGTAGTATATGTGGCAATGAAATAGATGGTCTTCCATTCACGTGGAACATATAGAGGTTCAACCCTATAAAACATCTCCAATGGTTTATTCTATCTTCATGTTATCCATTTATTTTATATTATAAATAAGGTGAAAAAATGATTCATAAGTCTAGAAGGACTTCTACATGTAGAAGGACTTATAGAATTATTGTTTCTCTTTCATGCCACATAATCACAGATAGAAGTGGAAAAATTGTTGTTGGAGAAGTTCTTTTATCATATGGTTTCTACAATTCCACAGTTCACATACGATTGGAGATGCTCGGGGGAACTCGGTAGAAGCGACGCTTCCGCCTTTCGCAGCTTCACAATTGCTCCCCCCTCAAAGTACGCCACCGCTTCCTTAGGCCTATAAAACTCATCCGCTTGTCAAACTTTTTAGAAGTTCTTAATACAAAACGCGAAAGCAGGAGTTCCACATTTTAAGAATAAGAGATAAAGCTCGAACTTCTCATTGGCATTATTCCCTCTTCTCAAGGTGCGGCCTTTCCAACATCTTCTTCCCCTATAAAAGAAGGGAAAGGGGCGCTCAAAGAGCCACCAGCAGCAGATAGAGCAGCAAGAGGAAAGCCCTTACTACAACGAGGTTCGATGTAATTGATCTGACTATCTTTCAACAAGGCTCGATGTAATTGACCTAAGGCTCTGACCAATCGGGAGCTATAAAAATGCCGATATCAGCCCCAAAAAAGGTGATTGATCAAGAAGGTCGTTCAAACCGAGTTGATGTAGGAACTTCGAAAGGCAAGATTGGCTTAAAAGCTCCTCGCCTTCCGATGACTCTATTCTGATCATCGACATCCATCGAATGAAACTTGCACTTGACTTTCTCATGGACTTGCCAAGCTAGGCTTCTCAACAAGGAATTCCATTCAACCAACAGGGAAAAAGAACAGAAGCCTTATCGTTAAATACCCTTTTGGCAGGCAGGCTGCGCGAATTGGATTTGAACCAATCAAGCTACTTGCCTTTTAGTAGATCTAATTATTTATGATGGTCAATAATGATTGTTCGCTAGGTGTAGGTTGGATAACTTCTTAGACTAATCAGTTTTAGTTTCAGTCTTATAATCTGTGTTTGATTCGCTTTTAATCATTGATTTTGGTTTAAAGTTGTACTGATTTCTTAATTTCTTGTAATTTATATTTGTATATTAGCAAAAGACTGTAAACGAAAGAACAAAGAGCTTTGGGAAGAAAAGAGCTTAGAGAGACAAAAAGGTAGAGAGAGTGAGAGAGTATCGAGAGAATTGTAACTACCAAGTTGTTCTTCCCATTCACGAGAAATTCCTTAAAAGTTGTTACATCAGATGGGCCTATGGGCCTTTGACCTTAATACTTAAACAAAATGGACTTAAGAAACCCTCGACTGAAGTTTCTCTAGTCAGGGCCGAGGGTTTCTCTAGTTTCACTCCCAGCATTTTGAAGAGTTCCTTCCAGAAAACACTAGTAAAAACCTTATCTCTATCAGTTAATATGCTGACTGGGTACCCATGTAACTTGTGCACTGTGTCCAGGTCCAGGAATGTCTTGGCCACTGATTTGGCAGTGAATGGGTGTGCTAATGCCACAAAATGTGCATACTTTGTTAGTCTGTCAACAATAACAAGTATCACATCCTTTCCCCAAGACTTAGGCAAGCCTTCTATAAAGTCCATAGACACATGAGTCCATGCTTTGTCTGGTATAGGTAATGGCTGCAACAGCCCAGGGTAAGGTCCCTTTTCTGCCTTGTTCATGCTACAGACATCACACCCTTTAACCCATTTTTCAATATCTTTTTTCATATTTGGCCAATAGAAGGTTCTTTTCATCCTCATGTAGGTACCCAAAATGCCTGAGTGTCCGCCAAAAGCTGAGTCATGAGTTGCCTGCAGTAGTGATTCCCTTAATTGGGAATTACTGCCTACACCTAACCTTCCTCTATACCTTATCAGCCCATCCACAAGAGTGAAATCTGGATAAGCTTGTGGGTCTAAGGTATTTGCTTCCCTATTTTTTTTGAAAAAGGGATCCATTTCATAACTGTCATGAATCTGTCGAACCCAAGTAGGTGTCAGGGTAGTAATGGCAGACACCTCAGTACCCTCATTAGGCTTCCTTGAAAGGGCATCAGCAGCTCTGTTCTCAGCCCCCCTCTTGTACTGAATTTCATAGTTAAGCCCCAACAATTTTGTCAACCATTTCTGTTGGATAGGAGTCATGATCTTCTGGTCTAGAAGGTGTTTCAAAGCCTGTTGATCTGTTCTGATAATAAACTTGTGACCCAGTAAGTAGTGTCTCCATCTCTGTTGATCTGTTCCTAATTACATTACTAACTCCCCGGCCCTGACTTGAACTCATTTTCCCCAATTTGGACTTGAGAAACCCTCGACTGCCCGCCGGCCAGAGGCGTCATCTTTCCCAGCATCACCGTGTTCATGACAAAAGTCTGTTAAATGGTTATCATGTGTTCTCTTATTTTTTTCATGTGTGTGGTTATGTTGAACTTGTTGAATTGTTGAATGATGATTATATTTTCTATTTTGTGAAACTACTCTCATTTTGAAGAAAAAGAGGAGTTATTTACATGTTTTGTGTTATATTGTTGTGTGTGTATAATTTTTTTGGGTCCTCCATAGATATATGGTGGTTTTTTGGCTTTCTGCTATGGCACGCCATCCCCCCAGTGATAACACTGGTATAGGGAACATTCAATTTTTCTGAAGTTCAGATTTGATCTTGTATTACATTTTGATTGGTATTTGAATTATTGGATTCTTTTATACTGAATGGTTCTGCATTTATTTATTTATTTTGTTGCATATTGGATGATGAATTGTGATGATCAGCCTTTGTGTTGTTTCTCTTCTGATTCAGGATGTCGGAAAAGAAATAAGAAAAGTGATAAATGGTGCTATTCCGAAAGCTAAGGTTTGACCTGTCCAAATTTCATGTCTGGTTGAATTGGATGTAGCATATGCCATGAATTTTGGTCTTTGTCGCAACTTTAAAAATGATATAGCATCTGCCTCTAATGATTTCCACCTTTGTATACTTCTTGAAAAATGTTTACAAGATAGAGAGCCCATATTAGCTTTTAAATAAACTCTGCCAAATGCCTAAAAAGAGTTATAATGCAAAACTGCTCGCCTATTCTTTCAATTCTCTCTGCACACACACACACACACACACACACACACACACAAAGACACAACTCTGTGTCCATATAAATTGTTGACATGTGGGTAATGTTATAGATATTTTTTGAGTTATGGTCGAACCGTTTGAAGTTTCAAACTATACATGATATTTCTGGATACCAACTCTCACGTGGTTGGTAATTTGGTTGTAGATTGTGGCATTCATTTGGAGCCGACATAAGAGTTGAGAAATATGCTTCTGTGAGTCGGGTCATCAAGAACATCTTCGTTTTTTT